AACAAGACTCTTTACTGCCTGGCTGTTGGAAGGTGATCTAGTTATAGAATGATGGTTTGCTAAAAGAAATTTAAACCCTTTCTCTCCCAAGATCTTGATATCAGTTATTTCCAGTCATTTTTGTAATCTCATCAGCACTGGCATGTTCTTGTACATTAAATTTTGCAGAATGTTTTTTTTTCCCTGACAGATTTGTGAATCACTTATTTCAAGGTTAAAGTTTTCAAATCGGTTGGGTTTTTTTTTTTGTTTGGAACAAACAGTATCATAATGGATGTCTCTGTTTTTGATGACATTGAGCGCCATACAGAGTGATTTGATTACCCTAAACCACTTTTCCCTCAGAGATTCATCTTGTATTCTGACATGATCGCCGATGATTTTTGTGCTCTTTATGGTGTAGTTTTTCCATACTGTTCTGACCATGAGTTCCAGAAGTGATGGAACATGTAACTTCTCTCTTAAATATCCAAACCTTATCCATCGAACAGGTGATGAAAACACTCAAACTTATTAAGTAGAAATTATTTACAAAGTAATGTGTAACAGTTAGAGAGGAGAATAATATTACAAGTAACAATCAGATCTCAATAGTTTAAGGGTGAGGACAAGTATCCATTGACTTACTATTTCTAATACTTGATACTTTATCTTTAAAAACTCCGAGGCCTGCTCCCAAAATAAGTTGGAAGAGAGATGGTCAGCAGATAACAAGTGGGCAAAATAGCTATGACATCCCAGACTTATTCTTTGGACGGCAGTTGATTATCATGGACGTAAAGAAAGACAAACATGAATCTACCAAGTACACATGCGAGGCAGAGAATTCAATGAACATTGGGAACCCTCTGAGTCACAAAATAAATCTGAAAGTTGAAGGTATGCATGGTAATGCACATGGTACATGTATGTTTGATTGTACAGTCAACTCTTTTCCTAGGGGACACCCTCAGGAACTGGATGTCCACCATGATGAATTTGCCAGGCCATAATGTGGCACTACCACTGTTATATTGGATTAATGAAAATATCAAATGAAGGGACAGTTTGCCCTGCGGAGACATATGGAAATTTGATAAAACCAGTTCCCACTGTTGTGTTTTGTTAGAGGTGGTATTTTTGTTGATTTACAATTTAAAGACAAATTCCAGTGCAAAAGTCAATTATTATGTAGTGAGTGTCTTCTTATGAGAGAGCCTAAACAAAAGAAAAGTCCAATTTTCTCTTTCAAAAGTGTCCCGGTCTGCTCATGAAAGATTTTCTGTGTACAGGAATGTGTAAATACCTAGACTTCGTACAAAAATAGTATAAGCAACAAAGGACTTTTTCTTTGTTAACAGACATGTCTTGTAACCATAGTGGGGGTTGAGAGCATGACTTTGAGAATTCAGGTGCGTAGCGTCCTCTACGCATATACGCACGTGCGTACTTAAACTGACCAGAAAAATTTGAAAACAATAACGTTGTGTTTGCGCCAAGTTTGCTCAAAATAAGGGCAAGACGCTTTGTTCTTTGCTTGTATTCACACAACCATTTCAAACAAGAAATAAAGAACGCAGTATTTTTCGCTCAGTTTACTTTGGTTTCTAGATCATATGCACTTGTGCGTACTTGAAAAAATGACCACGCTACGCGCCTGGAATATTAGGACCACCCCCCCC